GTTTACAACACAGGTGTGTGTGTGTTTACAACACAGGTGTGTGTGTGTTTACAACACAGGTGTGTGTGTGTGTGTGTTTACAACACAGGTGTGTGTGTGTTTACAACACAGGTGTGTGTGTGTTTACAACACAGGTGTGTGTGTGTGTGTGTTTACAACACAGGTGTGTGTGTTTAACACCAGGCTGCTCAGCATCCTGACACAGGTCAAAGGTCAAAGGTCAAAGGTCAGGGCCTGACAACATATTTTATCTGAAGGAACCAGAAGACGTCTGGACCAGAATGGAAGAATCAAGGTGCTGCAGTGGTCCAGTCAGAGTCCAGAACCTGAACCTGAACCTGACTGAAACCCTGAGCTGGACCTTCAGAACCTCCTGTACTCTGGAGGGAATATTAGATCTTTATTATTCACACCAAACAGGTAATAATAAACATTTAATGACAGGAACCTGCTTCAGTCGCCACTAACCAATAGGAACAGGTGTTACAAAGCTCCTCCTTAGGCTCCGCCCCTCATGGTCATGTTCTCTGAGTTCAAAACCAAAAACTTTAAGAGTTCTGACACGAGAGCTTCTGTTTGATTGAATAATAAAAACACTAAATTACCTCCATAATATATAACCTGCTCAGGAGGATCTGGACCAGGATCTGGACCAGGATCTGGACCAGGACCAGGTTTTCAGCCTTTTATAAAACTTCTGTTTTTGTTGATTAAAGACAAAGAGTTTTCCTGACCTGGACCTCTCCACTGTGACTCTTCCTCCTCTTCCCCTCCTTCCTCTTCTTCGTCCCCACCACTGTGGGCTGCAGCTGGCTCCTCCTCCTCCTCCTCCTCACCATCTTCATCATCCGGCCCTCCTCCTCCTCCTCCTCCTCCTCCAGAGTCCTGCGTCCTGGACTCTGAAATCACAAAGAGTCAGAGTTAAACCATCAGCAGGGACACGAGTCTGTCACCTCAGCAGGCTCATGTGCATGTGAGCGTGCACGTGATTCTGATCACATGCACGCTGTGATTCTGATCACGTGCACGCTCTCTGTGTCACTACAGCTCATCAGTATCAAAGATCTTCACCTGCGTTTCTCCGCTCATCTTCATCATCCAGCTCCACTGAATGAAGGTGGATGAGTTACACACACACACACACACACACACACACACACACACACACACACACACA